ATCCAAGCTTTCAGCTAGATGCCTTGGTCTGTAGTGTGTGGACAGATTTCCTACACTCTTTTGCATATCATTCTTTGGGTGACTGTTATAAATGACCTATAAAATATGCGTCCTATATTATATTGTTCCCTGGCAATATCCCCCAAACCATTACAGATTGGCTCCTGAGCTGTCATGTGGAAGGTTAGACACAAGACACTAAGTAGAGCAAAGCAACTTGGAGGACAAGGATTTGAATACAAGTTTCAGCAATCTGCAGTAACACTTCTTTCCCGAGTAAGAGTCATATGCTCACTGGTTTCATGATCAGGGAGGCTACAGTAGCACTTATCTCAGCAGTAACATCACTAACAGGCTGCTGGAACTCCTTCGGATGTTTTGAGGGACACTAAATTCTGCGGCAGTGTCTCTGGGTATATGAGTCTCAGGTGCATCTCAGCTTTTCACCCACAGTACTGATCAGTAAATTGAGGATCTTTTGTTGTCATACTTTGTTGACATCAATGTATGGAAATTTCATGGAAATGACACAAAGCAGTGATTTTTTCTTCTATAAAAGCAAAATCATATTTGCCAGGGCAATGTCTTCATCTTCATGACTGCCTCATACAGTTCTGATTTTCATTGGCTGCTCTGCTTCATTTAGCAACAGGAGATCTTTAGTGCAGTTGTATTTGGATCATTTTATAATAAAACTGAAGGGAACTTGAAAGGTGCTATGGATAATGTGTCTGTACAAAGTCCTCTCCTAGAATCCTGGCCCGACAAAAGATAAAGTCCTTTGCAACAGGAACGTTTACTTTCATTTAGAAGGAAAGTAGGACCAACGAGGACCAGAGATGAATGACCAGTGTGGCTCTTAGCCTGAGTCTGACCTCAGCTCTGAGGGCCACTTGGACTCTAGCCCAGCACAGATGTTCTCAAAACACATCTGGCCTGTCAGAGCCACCTGGAGACATGGGATTGTCTACTGAGTGGTGATTAAGTTGGTTAATGGGGCTTTGAATATGGCGGGTAAAGAGGTAGAAACAGCCCCAGTGAGTGGGTGTAGTAGTTCCTTCGAGCTCCGAGTCTGGCAGAGAGTGACACAAGGAAGTTGATGCTGTCGCAGAGGGGACCTGGCTTGCTGCTGACTGTGGCTGCGTGAGAAAGCAGGAATTTCCCGCCGTGTTCTTGCCGCTTTGCTGAGGGATGCTTCTTGCTAGGAATTGTATGAGTCTTAAACACTGAGAAGCAACAATTCATTTCCATTATTACGAGCTTTCCTTGAGTGTTGCAATGTGCTTTGTAATCATTGCTCTTATTATTCTGTTGTTGTTACCATTATTATTCTGCACCTTTTGAGGGGTTATAAGTCATTTAAAGTGAGCTACTATTTCTTCCTTTTCACCCAGGGACAATAGTTGGAATTTTTAGTGGAATGGCTAATGAATTCTTATACAGTCCAATAGATTGGGAAATTCTAGCTCTTTATGTCACACACACAGGAAAGTACCTGTGGGAATGTCTCAGTGTTACTCAAGCACGAAGCATGAAGTTCCCATGATAGGGTCATGGGAGGAGCAGGGCAAAGGAGGCTGTGAAGAGGCCAGTTCGCAGGGAGCTGTGCTGCATTTCTGTGTCTCAGTAAGTGTGCAAATTACAAAGGGGAGCTTTGTGATAGCAGAGATGTCAGAAGAAAGGGACCTAGGCAAGAGGTCGTGTACTGGATTAGCAAAGACCTGAGTTCTCCATATAGTTCTGGCACTAATCAGCACTGTGTCCATGTCAGGTCCCCTAACCTCCCCCTAGAATTCCTTTGCTTTATCTCTATCTCTTTTCACAGAGGGTTATATTTCTGACTCTGATCATTATTTGAAAGATGTAGCAGAACGTGCTGGAGAAATCAACCAAGGTTTGCAATAAAACCTTGAGGAAAGTTCAAAGATTCAAAGGCTCAAAGTTTAAAGGTTCAAAGTCTAGCTTTGAAATGATGAGTGAATTTGGACAAACATCTGAATCTCTCTAGGAAGGATTTTAATGTTCTTTGTATTCAGTTGGACTAGATGATCATTGAGTCTCCTACCAGCAATAGTTGTTATTCCTTTTTTTTCCCTTTCCAGCAAAATTACTACAGGAAATAAGCTGAATCTTTAAGTATGTAGCATTGCTTTGAAATATTTCTCTCATGACTTTTCACAAGGATACGTCAGAATGATTCAAGGTAGAAACAGCTGATGCTAGGATAATTGCAAAAATAATCTTTGCTATATTGTAATGATATTTTCTCAGAATTTATGAAAAGTAAGCATAAATTGAAAACCTTAGGTGAAATAAATTTTTATTTTTTATATAACATCAACTCTTCAGAGAGGGTTAGAGGTGGGCAGAGAAAGAGTTGGAAAAGATAGCTCATATCAGCTTGCCAAAATAGAAAATTTATTGTTACTATTATTTATTTATTTATTTATTTATTTATTTTTTTGAGACAGGGTCTCGCTATGCAGTTCAGGCTGGCCTTGAGCGCACTTCGTAGCTCAGGCTAGTCTTGAACTTGCAAAGATCCTCCTGCCTCAGCCTCCAGAGTGTTGGGATTACAGGTGTGTGCCACCAGGCCTGGTAACAAAATAGAAAATTAACACAATTACTAAATACGTGTTCATGGGTAATATAACATTAGTAACGAATTATTAAAGAGAAGATGTAACCATTTATCTTTTCCTTTTAAAATATAAGACATCAAACTGAAAGGGTTAGAAATATTTTATTTGATTGGAACAGATGACAATTTAGGATGATATTTTAAAAGTGCTATCTCCATTGTAATCTCAATCAGATGAATTTAAACAATTAAAGTTTCTTACATTATAATCAGTTTACCTAAATTCTAAGTACAGTAAAGTATGCATATTTTACCTGTTATTAAATCATTTTCAAAATGAGCATAAAAGAAATGACAACATACTATGGAAGAGTTTTCAGAGAAAACATAGTGCCATGTCCAAAAGTATTATTTCAGAAATCTATTCTGATGTCACATACACAGGAAGATATGTGATCATTCCTCATGGTACCTGTGTGAGTTTAGGATGTTAGACTTCTTATCCCTACTTCACACTTACAAAAATAAATGCAGTCCATTTAGTAAACTTCCCAAGGTCAGGTTATCACTGGAGATAGAAGGTATTGCTTTATTTGTATCTGACAGAGTCCAGTGCCTGACGGTGAGAAAGGAGTTAAGTGATCACTTGTCATTGAAAGGTAATCATTCAATGATATGACATTCTGTCCTATGAAATACAAAACAGTTATTGCCTTGCTGTTGGTTCCTTTACTTTTTAAATTCAGCAGGTAGGAGAGCAATTTAACAATAAGCTTGGCTCACTGTGCTGCTCGTAAGTTTATCCAGCTACATGAAGGGGCTTTGTAAACTATCTGTTTCGACCTGAAATTACTTCCAGGATGTGCCCCTCCTTGCAAATGTGTCATTAATCTGATTCATTGTGCTGTTGGCTTTTGTGGTGTGAATGAGATCTGCCAGCATCTGGCTGAGATCAACTTCCTTCACAAAACTCTTTAAAATCCATTTTTTAACAGTGAGTGTATGATAGATGTCCTAGAATAAGGATTTTTAGCAACACTGATATGTGTTTTTAAAAAAGCCATAGTTGCATTTGTTGAAAAGAATTCACCTGGATAATACAGGATCTGGCAAGATCAGACCTTGATGAAGATAAGTATAATGCCAGAAAAGATAACTCAAATTATTTTCTGAGTTACTTTGTCAGAAGTTTTTGCAACTGTAAACATTGTAAAAGATCACAGAAACATGACCTTGAGTTGATATCAAAACTTTGTAAAGAACATGAGTGTTTCTGTCACTAGAAAAATGACAAAACCATAGTTGTCATTTCCAGCGAGGAATTGTCAAGTGAGTTAAAACTGTCTATTTCATGGGTGCTGATGACCAACTGCCTAAACAGCAGGTGTGGCATGAAAGCATCCCCAGTTGAAACGTTTTCCTTACAGCTGGGTGGCTGTCCTGTTTTTCCATTTTAAAAAAGAAAGCTCTTAATTTCATGAAAAGAATGTGAACACTTCCACAACATGAACATAGTTTGTATTTATCACCCATGTTTCATGATTGACCTGAAACTTCACATCAGTGGCAATTTCATTAGGCCACAGTCTGGAGAAATCTAAGAATCTACGTCATCTGCTTCTATTTAAACAAATGATTCAACAGACTTGCCTACCTGGATGGAGTGGATGTCTTAATTGAATTGTCTTCACTCTGCCTGAGTGAATGTCTTAATTGTAGCTCAAGACAAATCCTAGAGATAAGATTCATCAATCATTTATTCTTCATCGTACTGAGTCTAAAGTTCAGAGATATCCTGAGCATAAGAGTATCACAGGGAACATACAGCAAGCAGAATTTGATGCAACGCTTGGCCACTTCTACAGTACTATCATGACTAAAATAGAAACAGGTAGATAGAATGAAACTATTCAGTATCCACTTCCTGCACAAATTGAGTTCGGATCCTACTTGATCCATAAGAGTCTTTTACATAAACTCCTGTACCCTTTAAACTAGGGTGAGGTTTATGTTACTTTTTTAAAAAACAAAAATCTAACTGAACCCAGAAATTTAATTTTGCTAATGTGTCAATTACATTTCAAAAAACCAGTCTTATGTAAACTTTAGTTTGTGTACAACCTTACAGTGATTGGAAGTAGCAAAATGCAAGCAGCGCCTTCTCACAGCCACGAACGCTAATGACGGATTGTTGTGTATCAGACCCTTCCACACATTTGCTTATTATTCAATCCCATCGCCCACCCATTGTCTCTACACCAGGCAGAAGAGTAAAACATCTTCAAAGAAATCTTCAGGATGACATGCCTTCAATCGCCTGGCCACTGTGGGCCAAACCGAAAATTTCATTTTCCCAGTTGTAAAGCACTTGTAAGGGTCGTGTGTGTGTGTGTGTGTGTGTGTGTGTGTGTGTGTGTGGTGTCTACTCTTGCTGCTTCTGTCCTGAAGGACTGGGTTTGCCAGAGTTCTCTCCAGGGCGCTGCACAGGAGTGAAGGGAAACTGGAATCCATAGCCGTTGTACCCGTCCAAATAGACACATTGGAAGAAACTGATGGGAGCTGAGGAAGAGGGCAGAATGGATGTTAAAACATGCAAAATATGGCCAGGAGTGGGGTTACAGCCCAGTGAGGCAGGATAGTGACTGCTACTGGCAAGTTACTAAATCTCTTTGAGTCTTGGATTCTTCTTGCATAAGAACAATACATGACAAACTTCACAAACAGAAAAATTAGAGTCAGCATAGGTGGAGTGCTTAGAATCAATCCTTCCCAGAATACTGTAAGCCCTTACTAAATGATAATACAAATGTCCTTGGAGAATACCTGGGTGCTTAGTGTATAGAATCTATGGGAGTACAAGACTGTCATAGAGACTGTATGTAGGAACACATTTCAGAACTTGATCTTGTCCTATGGAAGGTAATGTGTGTGTGTGTGTGTGTGTGTGTGTGTGTGTGTGATGTCTGAGAGTCACACCTGTGGTGTGAACATCTCTGCTCCAGCCAGACACTGTCCCATGCCATTTCTGTGTTTAAGTCTGGTGAGCACGGACTGAAACTTCTGACATGTAAGCCAAATAAGCCTCTCCTCCTCTAACGTGGATGCTGGGTATTTGTTAAAATGATGAGAAAGTGAGTAAGACAAGTGGCTACCTTTCTGCTGACCCTTATCCAGTGTAAGCACACTTCTGGCACATTTATTTAACTGACATTGAATAAGCTGTTCATGAAAATATCATTAAGGGTATAAATTTTCCAGCTTACATAAGAGACTCAAAGACATAAGGTTGTAGAACTACTTTATGATAACATTAAAATAGAAAATATTGTTTGGATGCAATAAATCCTTTAAAGAAACTTAAAATAGTTGGTACCTTTTTAAACTAAAAGTAACTATGTTCTGTCTTTTTATCTTTAATTAATTTTTTATTTTGAGATAACTGTAAAAGTAATTGTAAGAAATAACACAGAGATACCTTATGCACTTTCACCTAGGCTCCTCTAATGAAACTTATTACAAAACTATAGCACAATATCCCAATCAGGAGACTGGCACTGAAGTCATCTACCTACATCTGTTGAATTATGTTTCAGTATTTATTTATAAAATAAGAAGTTTTGAGTATTTATGTAATATGGATGCAGATTAAACTAGTAGACCAGCAATCGGGAGAGTGTTGTATAAATTAGAAACATGCCCATGTTGATTTATAATTTCTTTTCTTATGGATTTTGCAAAAACAGTTAAAATTATCATTGGACTGTTTCTATATTTCTCACAAGCTGAATGTGTTAGACTTACAAGGAGTATCTTTACCTGGTGCAGCAATCCCAGCATGTATAAATCAATGCTTGGAACACAGTAGGCACTCCATATTTTTTTCCAATGAATAAACTATTAATGCAAAATGGGAAACCTTTGCTACCATAGAGGACATTTTTATAATTTCCTGCACATTATATAAGAAGCAATGCCAAGGCCACAGACATCATTTCCTCAGAAAAATGTCTAGTTCTGTATTTTAAAAGCATGATGTGAGCAAGACTTCAGTTATATCAATTTCAAAAATTACTTCCTGTAATCTGTCCAGGGATGACTTTATTTAATGCATGTGTGCATCTGAAATTTATCACTTCACCACCTGATCAAAAAAGTCTAATTTGAACATCCTGGGATAATGAGAATCTTGAGCAGTGAATATTATAACTGCATATGAATATTGATTGCATTCTAAAATTAAGGGTTCTGAAGGCTGGATATTAGGAGCCTGCTGCATAGCTAGAAAAGTAAAGCAGAGCTTTGAATCTTAGAAGTGAATTTCCAAGCAATTGAATTGCTAAAGTCTTTTTCTACAATTTTCCTATTTGATATAAAAAGATTCATATCACTTCCACTAATCTATTATACAAAAGAGAGTAATGCACCTTGAAGCAAGCCTGAGCTAGAGCAGTGGGCATCAGAGCTGAGAAGAAATAGCTCACAGTAAATGCCACTTCAATAAATGCTATTGTGCCTAATTCTTCCAACTCTGATTCTTGCCTGACACAAAAATGACAATTTTCTCCTTGAAATATAAGTGATTTACTTTAATGTTATCCTCATGTCTGTGCTAAAAACTTTTTCCATGTAATATTGGACTACTTGAAAGGATCAAAAGTTTACATCTGCATGTGCCATCTTCAGTAAAGAATGATTTCATAGTTTTGATCTAATTATGAACTTACTTTTTTGCTTCTTTGGGGAAGACACATCTTCAGTTTCTTCTAGAGAATACAAAAATATGAAAATGAACATTTCTAGACTGTGTGTAAACATATGTCATTCTGAGAATGACTCCACAAGACCACAGTAGGAAAGAGGCATGAGTTAGCTGCCCTCTAGGTCAGCATTCAGGTTCTTCTCAGTCCTTGAACATGAAATTTAACAGGCAGAAGTGAGAGTAGGAGAAGCACTAATGGAAGAGGAAATGACATGCTCCCAGAGCTTGCTCCGACAGGACAACTGGCCCTCAGATGTTGGATACTGTCAGGTGAGAACTGGTTCCCATATTCTTTCCTTGAGAAGAGGCCATTGATGCTGAGTTACAGTACTGTAAGGGTGCAATCTGATTACAAGCATGACTGTCTCCTTAATCAGTAATTGTTTTACTGTGTTGGACATTTCATGCTCTTCCTATTCAGCCACTCTGAAATATACCATCAGTAGGTACTTTCTGCGCTATAGAAAGTCAAAGTCTTACTCTCTGTGTTTTGGTGCCCATTATTTAACTCCCCACCCACAGCAGTTATTTCCGGTCTCCAGTGAACACGGCTCCACTCTGCTTTACATGATTGACTTTCTGGTCTCCACAAATGATTGAGCACTGGTGGGACTGATCTTCATGCATCTGGCGATGTTACTTAATATGATGCCCCACTTCCCTTCATGTTGCTGCACATGACAAGAGTGTGTTCTTTTTGTGACTATGTAACACTCCACATTCCATTGTATGAATGTACCACATTTTCTTTATCCGTCCATCCACTAAGGGGCATTTAGGTTGATTCCATATCTGAGCTGCTGTCTGTGAAAACTGCTGCAACAATTACAGGAGTACAAGAATCCCTCTGCTCTAATGCTTGAGCAGTGGTATTGACATATCACACAGTAGTTGTACATTTTAGTTTTTAAGAATCTGTACCATAATGGTTACACTAATGTACATTCCTACAAAAGATACAGCATTCTCTAGAAGGGTGTCTTAGTGCACATGCAAATGTAGATTGTATTTTATGAGACTGACACATTCACTCATTCTTGTGTAACTTTACTCAGCACATAATTTTTCACACTGTCAGGTAAGCTTGGACAGTGTCACAGAACTAAAATGGCAAGAACAATTCTTTGGGAAACTATTTTCATCTGCAAAAGTGTTGGAAGTGGAATAGAAACACTATTTCATACTGAGCTCAAACTAGGAAGCTAAAAATCCTTCAGGAAACAAGATCAAAAGACCCAAAGTTCAGTTCAAATGTTCACATTATGGATGGAGACATATTCCTCCCTCTCTCCCTCCCCCTCTCCTCCCTCCCTTCCTTCTTTCCTTTCCTTCTTTAACGATAGTGCTGCTAGAATAGGTGATTTATCTTTCTTCTTAACAAAAACTAATCTTGGGTGAAATGATAGTATTATACTCTTTGATGCAGTAGTAATTTTTTGATCCTTGATGAAGTGATGATTTTGAAGGACTACTTCTGAGGATTAGTCAGTAAATGCATTTGATAATTATTAGTCAATGAGTTCATGCATAACTGGCTATTTAATATGAGAATAAATATATTTCCTAAATAATATAAGGAAAGTTTATTAAGAAAAATAAGTCCAACCATATGAACTCTGCTTTAAAACGCGCAGATGAGGTCAAGGATATTGGAATAAAATTAGACAGACAGGACGTTCACAGCCTTGAGAGGAAACGGGAAACAGAGGCAGGGATAACACACTTACCTTTAGCTTTCTTTGCAGCTGGCACATCTTCAAAATCTTCTAGAATGCAGAGAAAAGACACATAAGATCACAGTCTGATTTTTCAGTTTTCTCAAAGAGGAAACATTGTTTGTAAAGGATTTGAGAGTCAGAAGACCTCTGGGTCTCTAGGCTGAGCATCCAGCGTTGCATAATTGCTTCTCACAGAGCCGCGTCCTGCTCCACCTCTGGAAGGTGCGGTCAGGGCAGGGCTGCAGAGGGACCATGGTCACCACATGGCCACAGACTGGGCTGGAGAAGGCCCTGCTGTCAGCTTCCCCACAATCCTCTGTGCATGTCTTCTCTCCCTCTAGCATAAAAATTCTTTCAAAAAGTCATAACTGCATTTGGGGTTTAGGAAATTGGAAGTAAATGGATTTATATCGTTATGGTTGATACACTGTATCAACTTGAGGAGTCTAGAAGTTTAACTAAGTAACTCAGCTATTCTACATCCTGGGGTGAAAAGGACACGCCCTTCCTGCTCTAGGATGTTGTTCACTGTATTAATGTGAGATGTTTAGAAGATTAAATGAGTGCCGGAGCAGGGGGCTGGGTCCTTTGTATCATCCTGAGCCCGTGCAAGTGGAGGGCATAGAGATTATGTAAGTGCTACATGCCCCTGAGTGGGGGTAGCCTGCTTACAATATAGGGGAGGAAAAGTTGCTCCCCGCTTTTGCTCTTGTTGCTTTGCTATCTTCCACCTCCATGAATGTTTGCCCTCTGCCATGTGCCACTCTGCCTCAGAGCCAGCCAAGTATGGACCAAAACCTCCACAAATTGTGACCTAAATAAACCTTTCCTTCCTTCATTTTGGGCGTTGGGTATTTTGTCTCAGCAATGACAGAAAAGTAACCAAGATACATACACAGGTTAGACCACAGAACAAAACCTATCCATATCATTTATTAGCAGTTTGATGGTGAATTTTAGCCTTTTTGGCAATTTTAAGAATACAAGAAAAAAAGCAATGACTGTACGTGGGTGAATTAATTTTTGGGGAAAGTGTCAGAAACGCACATTGGGATTACGTCTGTTCTCCAAATGGTGTTGGGAAAACTGGATATCTACACACCAAATAATTAAATTGAAACTTTATCTTCTATCTTACACAAAAGTCAATTCAAAAGAGATACTTAAACATGAGACCCCAAAGTGTAAAATTATAAAGAAAGCACAGGGAAAAACTCTTTGACCGTGACCATGGCAGTGACTCTGGATGTAGCATCAAAAGTATAGGTGACAAACGTAAAGATTTCCCAGGGGACCACAATGGTTTCTGAATAATGAAAGGAAACAATCAACAAAATAAACAGGTAACCTGTGAAATGGGAGAAAATATGTGCAGATCACATATTGATAAAAGACAAATATCTGAAATATATAAGAAACTCGTATACCTTAACTACTTGAAAAAAAAAACCCAATTTAAAAAAAAGTTAAAAAGAAACCATACAATTAGCCAACAGGCACATAAAATACTCACTCAACACTAATTATCATGGAAATGAAGACGATATCATATCTGTGTGACAGCTATTGTAAAATGTCAAATAATAAGTGTTGGGAAAGGTTTGGAAAAAAGAGAACTCTCTATGCTGTTGGTGGGAATGTAAATTGGTACAGTTACCATGGTGAGAGGTATGCAAGATTCTAACAATATTAAAAATATAGCTGCCATGTGATCCAATAGCCCTTTTTGTGGATATCTATCTATGTCTTCATGTATATACCTATTATACTGTGCACTTAAAATTTTCTGAGACAGTAAGTTTTAAATGTTCTCAAATACACACACACACACACACACACACACACACTCATACAGAAGTCAACTTTATACCATGATGGATTTGTTAATTAGCTTAAATTTGACAATCATGACATGAGTACATAAAAATCTAAATATTAGGGGGTGGGGATTTAGCTCAGCAGCAAAAGTGCCTGCCTGGCAAGCGCAAGGTCGTGAGTTCGGTTCCCGGTACCGGAGAAAAACCAAAAAATAAAAAAATAAAAAAAAATAAATATTAGATTGTACACCTTAAATCTACATTAATTTATACTGAAGCTCAAATATTTAAGACTAGCTCAAGTTGTAGCATGTAGCATTTAGTCTTTTGCACACTGAACCACAGGCACATACTGAAACAAGGTAGAAATAATTATAACTCAGAAGTAATGCTAATAAAATATAGTTGAGGAATTTTAAAATTTTACTGTAAATTTTTACTACTTATAATTATCTAAGTGAAGTCCAGTTTTGGATTATTTGTTTATATTTTGCATAATACCTGTTCATTAATAAACAAAAAGGGGATAAAATGGGGTCATTAAGCAGATTTTCTCTAATAGGGAAAAGATGTGACCTTTGTGAAGGAATGCTATTATGTAAAAGAACAAAATGGGGAACAGAATTACTAGGATTTCATAGAATATCATTAAAGTTTTGGTCTGCTTTAAAAAATATTTACAAGGTATGATTGATATTTGATGACTACATAAATTTAAAAATATATTACAGTGCAAGACACATTGCCATTAATTCCTCTCGAAATGTTCACCTGCACTTTTTTTTTTTTCCCATTACTGGTAGTAGAACTCATGACCTCATGCTTGCCAGGCAGGCACTGTGCCACTGAGCTAAATCCCCAGCCCTTCTCCTGTACTTCAAACACACTGACCACATCCTGAAGCTGTTCCTGGCATCCTCTTTTGTGAGTCTCTTTAGTTCTGCTGTGGCTGCTTTCATGACCAGAATCTTTTCAAAGCGTTTCCCTTTCATGGTCGTTTTGACTTTGGGGAAGAGTTTGAAGTCACGTGTGCCAGAGGCGGTGAATAAGGTGGGTGGGGACACACTGTAAAATTCTCACCAGCCTGCCTTTCCATTGGGTGGCGCTGCGCAGCGGTGTTCACTGCATTTTTTATTACACCTTGGAAAGCCGCTCATGAAAGCTGACTTACAGAACTGCTTCAGACGGTGGTGGCAAGGATGCTGTGGTGCGTTTGAAGCGAGGAGGATTTTTGAGGAGAATTAACGGCAATGTTTATACTGTAATTTTTAAAACTTTAAATATTCATGGTATATTTTGATACACTTCAAAAATAGTTAATTAAATACTGCAGAAATGAAGGGAAGACACACATGGTTATACGATGTTTCAAATAACACAGTAGTGTAATTATATTTTTAAAATTTCAGAATATCTAATAGAAAATGTTTTATTTTCTTTCAGGAAGAGTCTGTTCATTTCTGTGGAAGAGTGGTACAGAAATAGAGGTAAGGTCCTTCTCCAAAGGAACATACATTTCATTTTTGTAGATTGTAGCACATCTAACACTAAAATCCTTATCCTCTAGATTCACTTATTTCCCCGGAGAAATAAATACAAGAATAAAAACTTTCATATCTTCAAGTTTTGTATTCTGACAAGGAGCCAACTGGCTATCGGGGATGAAGCCCGCTGGGGTGGAGCCCTGTGTGCATTTTGCAGGCTGATCAGAAGGGCAGATGCCTGAGAAGGCGGGCTGCAGGCCCCACCGGTTCCTGTGTAGACTCAAACTCTGTGTAAGCAGCTAAATAGTGACAAAAATGTACTGAGCAGGAATAATGTGCTTCAATTATCACCATTCAGAACTCGGAAAAGGCAGAAAGCATTTACAGTCCATTTGCACTTGCAACCCGCACAGCGATGGAGGAGCGGCTTTGATAAAACAAATATTCGACTCTGACATGGTACAGTCACCACAGTGAAGGGAAGATCAAAATGTTCCAATGGAATTTTACAGCATGACTTGACGTTGGGCCAGACTGTTGGGGAAGCCTCTTAGGAAGAAAGGCAAATTGATAATGCACCTTAAAATAATGTAATGGAAGGACGGATGACAAGTTTAAGGTGAAGATAACAACACGAAGAAAGTCAAGGACAGCTAAGGATGGAGAATATTCAGGAAGTGCAGGGGATGTGGAAAGGCCGGACAAGATGATCACATGGAAGATCTTATATGTCAGGCAGAAGAGGCTGAATTGTACTTTACATTCAATGAAGGTTGTTCAGGAAAGAAATAATATTTTACTGTATTTGGGAAAAATAAACTTGACTAGAACATAAGAGTATATTCATCCAGAACATCGAGATGATGCTCTTAATCAACACACCAGGCTGCCCTGCCACCTCTTGAGGACCAATATCGAAGAGCAAGTGTTTCTGATCCCCGAATCCATGTATCATACTTCCTTGCACGTGCTGGTTGGCCGGCCCTGGCAGAGTCCAGGTACGTGGAAGCCACACTCTGCGTACAGCAGAGGTGAAGGAGGAAGGCTTCCACCCACCCTTCAAGAACAGGTCATGCTCAGCTCGTACCTCTTCTCTTCCAGCCATCTGCTCTGCTCTGGCAGGAAGAACTCGAAGAGTCTGCTGCCCTTGAAGGTGATAATCATGCTCAAGAGCTGAGGGGCAGTACTTGTTTGGTTTGCCTAACTACTGTAAGTGATTTGGCAATTTTAGCCCAAAATTGAAGAAAAATGCCCCATCTTGACTTTGCAGTTGTAGGCCCATGCTTTAGTTACATGGAAACTTCGATTCCAAAGGAACTCCGTATAGCAGAGAATCCACCTTGTTTTCCAAAGCAGATGCTGCAGCCATTCCAGAGTCAGAAAGGAGTGAAAGGTCTTGCCTGGGCGGCCCCTGTTTCAGTGTTTTCAATGTGCTGCTTTCAAAGACTGGCTTTTATTTTTATCACTCTTTTATGCTTATTGAATTGGGGCATAAGGATACAAGGATGTTTCAATAGGTATCAGTTAGTGAAACCAATAAAATGATCATGAAAGAGAGGCCTGGACTTGGTGCTTTTTTTCCCTGTTGCACGTTTTCACTAATTGAAGACATTTCACCTTTATCTGATTCTACAATCTGTCCTATCTAAAATTAAATGCTGTTTCAACACTAAGGAAAAATGTTATTCTGAAATCAAGTGTAATAACATGAAAAATCAGAAAGTCTCTCTGCCCTTTGCTGAGAAGT